AACTCCAGTGAAAAAGAAAGCCTGGGAAAATAGTTTGCTGCTTTATAAAAAAAAAAAGCCCTCCATAAAGCCAGAACATCTTACTATTCATCACTGATGGAAGAAAATAAGAACAACCCCAGGTTTCTCTTCAGCACTGTAGCCAGGCTGACAAAAAGTCAGAGCTCTGTTGAGCCAACCATCCCTTTAACATTAACTAGTAATGACTTCATGAATTTCTTAACAAATAAAATTTTAACCATTAGTGAAAAAAAATACTTGGAATCATTTCACAGATATAACATTATGTACGGCTACTTTCAATACCATTGTTATTTACTTTACTATAACAATGGTATTACTATTGTTTAATTACTGAGTTCACTTCAGTAATTACATCCTCCAAACCATCAACATTTGTGTTATGTAATGTTTCTATCTTAAACATGATCGACCTATCTCTAATAATTAGCTATGTAGCACAGGTCTTTAAGCTGTAATTAAATTAAACCATTAATTAAACCAATACTTAAAAACCCATCCCTAGACCCACCGGTCTTAGCTAATTATAGGCCGATCTCCAACCTTCCTTTTATCTCAAAAATTCTTGAAAGAATATTTGTGTAAAAAAAAAAAAGAAGCCGACTAATCATTTGCAGAGGAATGGCTTATTTGAAGAGTTCCAGTCAGATTTCAGAGCCCACCACAGCATCACAGCACAGAAACAGCTTTAGTGAAGGTTACAAATGATCTTCTTTCAGCCTCTGACAGTGGACTCATCTCTGTGCTTATCCTGCTAGACCTCAGTGCAGCGTTCGATACTGCTGACCATAATATTTTATTACAATCATTAGAGCATGCTTGTAGGTATGAAAGATGCTACAGTGCAGTGGTTTGAATTATATCTAACTAATAACTCCAATTTGTTCATGTAAAAGAAGAGTGCTCTTCACACAGTAAGGTTAATTATGGAGCTCCACAGGGTTCAGTGCTATGGGATCAACTGTGTTTACGTTATATATGCTTCCCTTAGGGAGTATCATTAGAAGCCATAGCATACATGTAGATGACACCCACCACCCATCTATCCATGAAGCCAGATAACACACACCAATTAGTTAAACTGTAGGAATGTCTTAAAGACATAAAGACCTGGATGACCTCTAATTTTCTGCTTCTAAATTCAGATAAAACTTTATTGTATTTGACCCTAAAAATCTTAGAAATATGGTATCTACCTTACTCTGGATGGCATAGAATAGAATAAACCTTTAATCCTTTAATTGTCCCACAAGGGAAAATTTGGTAACACAAGGGGAAATTTGGTAATTCTCTTGGCCTTGGTAAAACTGATGAATATTGGAGTCATTTTCAGCCAAGAGCGGAGGCCACCTCTGGGGACAAGTGGGACGACTATTCTATCTCTGGTTGCGAGGTCACCACTGAGCCTGTTAAACAACTCCTTGGTGGCAGGGCCCCTGGGGTGGATGACGTTTGAGTTCCTGAAGGTTTTGGATGTTGTAGGGCTGTCTTGGTTGACACACCTCTACAATGTTGCACGGAGATCAGGGGCCGTACCTCTGGATTGGCAGACCGGGGTGGTGGTTTCTATCTTTCAGAAGGGGGACTGCCCTTTGTCACCGATTCTGTTCATAATTTTTATGGGCTGTCATGGCTGTGTGCAGGCAGGCAGGGAGGAAGGACCCAAAATGCGGGATTCGGTGAGGCAAAGTTGAACTCAAAGTAAACAGCTTTATTTGCAGGTTGCAGATTGAACAGAGGACTAACTATACTGGGAAAATATAAACTGACAGGCAGATAAACAGGGACCGAAACACAGAGCGTAGACTGAGGGCGAGTAGACATTAACGACGCGACAGAGAACAAAGGAAACACAGTGCTTATTTTATTGTAGAAACATAATTTAAAGTTTTTATGGAGCACAAGGCTTTGGATTTTTATTGACTTAATCTGTGTTTTGGTATCTTTTATGTTTTTTTTTTCACAAGATTAGCTTTAGTTTTATGAAGAATTATATTTTTTCAGTGGAATTTTGCATCCATAATGTACTGACATCACCCACTGTAAATTTTGTACCTGGAAAATAATCAGAAAAAAATTGTTTCAATGTGTTTAATACCCAAACCTGTCATGGTCCCTGGGTCTCCCTGGCTGGTTCACACA